TTACCTATCGTCTCCATTGTTGTTCCTTTTGTTGGCTTGACCAAGTATATATTCAGGATTTTTATAAGGTATCCCCCAAAAGGAACTACAATGGCGACTCTAGGTAGGGTCTAAGGGTGAGGGTTTCCAAAAAGGTCCATGCACACTACTGTTATGGAGTTATAGGGCCTCCAAAACCATCATAGGGATGGTCTTTTTGGGCCTAATTCCATAATGGTAGTGTCTCTGGACCCTCTAGGTTTCAAGTTTAGGGGTTTGGGTTTGGCGGGCTCTTCTTGGGTATAGGCTTCGGCTTTCGGGTTTCGGGTATCGGCATAGGCTTTGGGTTTCTGGCTTAGATTTCGGGGTCTATAGGGTTTGGGGTGTAGGGTTTACGGATTTGGGGTACGGTTTCACACAGAGCTTTGGGGTTTACGGTTTCTAATACCCTAAACCCTAAACCCTAAACCGCAATAGACTTCAAGGTCGAGGCGTTAAACGTATAACTCCCCAGTTATGTTCCTTAAAGGCTTTAGTGCCTAGGGTTTGATGGTATGGTATAGAGTTCAGGGCTTAGGTGGGATTTCGGGTTAGAGTCCGCGTTGATTCAGGCTGGAGTTAATTATAGTGAACCCCGGAAACTTGGAACATGGGCCCCGGCTGAATAGTGCTTGGATTCCTCATGCTTTACCGTGCGGACATGAGGAGGTGATGTTCCAACTTTCTGGCCCTTACTCTACCTTAGGGACCAAATGGCCCTTAAAAGTAGGGGCCCTATACCCTTATGCTATAAATCCCTATTATGGTAAATGAACCTTAAACGCTTTTAGGGCTCATGAAGTCCTTAAGTTAGGGTTTAGGTTTACGACTTAGTGCAAGAGAGGGGCCTGGGTTTAGGGTGTTTAGTAAAAAGGCGGCCTTAATAATTAGAATAGGGTTTAGAGGCCCATTTTCCATTTATAATAAGAAACCACCAACATAGTATAGGTAATTATTTCGGCCCATACATTATGGCTTAGCATTTGGGGCTTTGGACCTTGGAAGCCCTGAACCCAAGAAGTTTAGACTGAAGCACATGGAGACGGTTGGCATCCTCTGCGTAATGTAGGTGCGTTTATACAAAATTTAGAATAGGGTCTGAGGGTATAAAATGCAATATTATTACATTTGATGAAGATAAGGAGATTGTATTGTACATGAATTCTACTGCCAATTATTCCGACCCTTGTATCTAGTCCGACCCTCCTGCGATTAGTGAACCCCTCCCCAATAAAAACAAACCTGATTCCTTGGGCTGGAATGCGCTCGAGGAGGAGTGCTAACCCTAAACCCGAATGCCTGGTCCCTAGACCCTATAAACCCTAAAGCCAAATCTCTAGACCCTAAACCTTAAACCCCGAAACCCTAAACCCTAAACCCCTCCTAAAGGGCCAAGAGGACAGCACAGTCAGTGTATTGATGAGGGGGAGCCTAGGCATCCTTCCAGGAGTAAAAGGCTGGCCAGAAAAGGCCTAGGGGTTAGGGTTTAGGGTTTAGGGTTTAGGGTTCCAGTGGAACTACCCAAATAAGTACAGGGTTACCTACTCACCTAAAAGAGGCACGAAGAGAAGGCTTCAGGATTTTTCTGCATCCTCTATGTACCCTAGATCTATAGATCCCTGCCACAAACAAACCCTGCGAAATTCAGATTCAAAATCGCAAACGTTCCGAACCCAATGGCTGATTTTGTTCGAATCCGTAAACTCGACATCAGACCATCAACCCTACACCCCGAGGTTTAGGTTTTAGGGTCTAAGGTTTAGGGTTTAGGGGTATAACCTGTATAGGAACCCTGTTAGATGCCGGAAGACCCTAAACCCTAAACCCTACACCCTAAACCCTAAACCCTAAACCCTAAACCCTAGAATTAGGAAAGCTTGGGACCCAAGGGCTTTTCATCACAAAGGATTCGCGCGAGAGTCGGCGTCCTGCGTGTAATGGTGCTCCTGGAGGTACTACATGTGGGTTTCCAAAGGTTCTATAAGGATGCGGATAGCTGTGGTTTTGAGATGTTCGGTATTTGAATGTGGGGCTGGGGGACCAGGATTAGGACCATTAGGATTCAGGGCTTAACGTAGAGGTCTGAACCAATAAGTCCAAGTCCAAGTTAAGTTGCTTGGCAAGTGTAGCCGTCTTGTGCAAGGCATCCTCAGTGGAATCATACACGTTCACAAATTTGAAAATGATGCATGAATTTCTTGAAGGGGACGGAGGTGACCCTGAAAGCCAAGCCCTTTGGTTCTTACCGGCAAAATGTTTAGTGTGTGGAGTTTGGGGTTGAGGCATTGAACTCTGAGGCTTAAGTTGCAGGCGATGCGGTCAGCGCCGGCTCTGCAGTTTACGGGAAATAATATGCATACTCCTATTCCTACTCTCTACATACACATACACACGGATATACCGGAAACGACACACACACATATATATATATATATATATACACACACACACCGATATGGGTATACAAGGCATTGTGTAGATGTGAAAACAAGCAAACAGCTACGTGCATACAGAGTCATGGATCGAAACGTAGAAACATAGCTAGAGACGCAGGTCGACAGTGTCGACAGACAAAACAGACAGACAGACAGACAGACGGACGGACGGACGGACGGACGGACGGACGGACGGACGGATGGACGGACAGACAGAGGGACAGACAGATAGACAGCTTTGTTCTGGATTCGGGTCTGGATGTGGGGTGGCATGGCTCAGAAGGTGACGGTCTCGCAACAGACAGCCGTCGTACGATGCTTCTACTCCCTCCTTCATTCATGGATACCTGCACTGTCAACCTCGACTTACAGCCCCTGAGCCACGAGGGATGAACAAGGAGTCTGCAGTTTACCCATAGGCCCCATAGTACTGTTGATGATATAAATCCTGCATTACCTTAAGGACCCTACCTTATGGGAATTATGGTATACTCCTGAATATGGGTAATGCAGGATTTATATCATCAACCGTAGTTCCTTCTTGGGGTTCATATTTAGAATCCTATAAGGTAATCCCAAGAAAGGAACTACTATGAGGCCTATGGGTAGTTTTGATTAGTTCAGTTTGGCTTGTGGATTGCTGTTTGCGGCTCAGAGCGCGTGTAGCCTGAACCCAAACCTACGTTCTTGCAGAGTCCCCTGAGGCTTCGAGTATATAGGATTCAAGGTCCTGAGAACGAGGTTTTGGGTTTAGGGCTTCGGGTTTGGGGTTTAGGGCTTGGGGTTTAGGGCGTAGGGGTTAGGGTTTAGGATTTCAGTCGAGTGCTCGGTGTAAGCAACGGCACTGGCAATCTCAGATGCAACGTGTTCGAGATTGGAGCTGAGTCCAAGCCCTGACTCCGGACAGGCTTGGGATGGTAGGGATTGGGGGCTTAAGGGTTTAAGTTTAGGGTTTAGGGTTTAGTGGGTTTAGTGGGTTTAGGGCTTAGGGTTTAGGGTTTAAGGTAGTTACGGGTTTCGGCTTTGAGGACTTATGGCTTTTGGTTTCAGGGTTTAGGGTGTTCCAGCAGGCCCCGAATTTTGCAGCCCGTCGGCCAGCCTCGTGTTTCACCTCGCCCAAGGACTCCAGTGATTGCGCGCAATCGCTGATCCACTTCCTGGGAAAGCAGTATTCAACACAGAGGCAAGGCTAAACCCCTGAGCAGTACAGCTTAAGCGTATCATCTAGAGCCTTGAAATCTATACAAACTTAGGTTTGCATTGACAAGTTGATGCTTCGCGTCATGGGGTCGGGGTCTTTGGCGCTTCCACATCTGTTAGGGGACTCAGGTTTGTGCAAGCGCCGGGGAAACCCCAACCGCTAGACGCAAAATCCTACACACCACGGCAAACTGGGCCCTCAACCCTATCATCCCTAAGCCCTCAACCCTGAACCCAAAGCCCTTAACCCTCAACCCGTGTTGGGACTTGACAGATTAGCTACAGTCACAAACTGTCCACTACTCTGTTTGGGGTTTAGGGTTTATAGGGCGTATTAGCGAGGAACTTCCGCTGCTTGGAGGATCTGCCTAAGTAATGGGAAAAACTTGGATAGGTAAAACAAGTATATATATATATACACACACCCCTCTCTATCTATCTATCTATATATATATATATATATATTTGTTTTGTCTTCTGGTCACTTTGCTTATAACCGCGCTTACTAAGTCCCTTGATCCTTTAAATTCGAAGCGATAAACATCGACAAACCCTACTTACCCACACCCCAAACACAAACCCCCACAAACCTGAAGCCCTAACCTTAAGGACGAAATGAACCTTAAAATAATTCAAGGTTCATATACCATATGGGTAGTTGTCAAAATTATGGTCCCTGTTGGGGTACCCTAAATAATAGGTGCCGTATTATCATAAGGACCCAAAAAGGGACCTTAATTTTGACAACCACCCATATAGGCTTCAGACTATAAGGGCACAGGGCCCAAACTTATACGGGTCAGGAAAGCCTTAACTCGTTGAAGCAGAAGTAACGTCTAGCTTTGGTTTTAGGGTTTAGGGTTTAGGGTTTAGGGTTTAGGGTTTAGGGTTTAGGGTTTAGGGTTTAGGGTAGCTTTGTAGTGCTGAAAGATGGTGGCATAGGGACTGTGCAGGTTTTTACCGCCAAGGCTTCAATCGGCTTAGGGCTTTTCCGGTTGAACCGAATATTCGGCAACAGAACTTTAAACCACTAAACCCTCGCGCCCCCTGACTACTTAAAACCATGAATCCCTGATTCCGCGAAACAGCCATCGACAGGCTGAAACCCATGAAGCCAACCGACAGAAGTAATTAGAAGAGATGAAGAACCTTTACTCAAACCCTAAACCCTGAAACCCTGAAACCCTAAGCCCTGGTTAAAGGGCCTAACCCTAAACCCCAAACCCAAAG